GCCGACTACGATGACAATGACTGCCAGGACGGATACTGACATGTGCCACACAGGCTTATTGGTGCTGGGGGGTGTAGGGGGAGGAGGGTTTAATTTATTTGCTATATAGCCTGGCTGACTTCTTCCTGAGGAGAGGCTGTGGGTAAAATGGAGGTGGGTTCTCCACGGCTCAGTCTGGGCACACTACACAGGGTGTGAAGTGGGAGATGATGCCAGACACAGGGAAAATGCCAAGCTGCAGTGAGAAAAGCCATTTCCCAAACCAGAGAGCAGCCAAGAGCTCTGAGTGCCAGCAGGGTGATGCTGCCCACTTGCTACAGGGGCACAGGGGCAGCTCAGCACTCCGGGAGCTGAGTGTTCACCCCTTGTATTTACCTACCACTGCCATAAAAGCGTCTGTCCAGACTCCAACAGGAGCTTTCTGTTAGCTCCACGTCCTGCACATAAGGAGGAAAAGCTACAGCTGGTGTGCACGCGTGGTGCGTGAGCTCAGCGGTGTGTGACGTACCACTTCAGGATGGGATGTATGTAATATTTTGTAAGAAATGTACAGAAAACATTATATTGTATCCTTTTTGCACTTGTATTTCAAAGCTGAAATGTACCCTGTTGATTTCTTTAATTACCATTAAAACCATCACACTCTATAGTGGTGTGGTCTGAAGCATTGCTGGTTTTCTTCCCAGGGGGAGTTGGGTGCTGAGATTTGGGGTTGGACTGGAGCGAGCGAGGGGCAGGCTGTTTGCACAGGAAGCCGCAGCACGCTGGGGTGAGGGGGAAAGCAGAGGCTGAGACATGCTCCCAACCTCTATTTCCAGGCACCCCAAGGGCCACCCTGCCCTGAGGTGACCCAGCAGCAAGGTGGAAAAGCTGGCTAATGACCCTAACGAGCTGGGCCTGGAGCTTTGCTATATCATGGCCATCAACCTGCTGCAGTGTGAGTAAGGGTTGTTCTGCTCTTCCTGAGGCACTGGGAAGGAGATGCTCCAGGGCACCACTGACTCTGGGTGCTCCTGGTGGCTCCTGGTGCCAGGTCCCCTGCAGCACAGAGCAGGTGAGTGAGGATAAAGGGGTTGTTGTGGGCTCGTAGATCATGGGTAAAGCTTCTTTTGCTCAGTGTGTTTCTTTTTTTCCTTGTGCAAGTAAGCAACACATTATTTGTTTAAAATCCCACCCAGGTCCTTTGTTCTGGTTGACATGTGTATGATGACCTGTACAGTCATCAGTGGGTATCAGTGCTGAGGGAGGAAGCTGTGGGCTGTTGTGTAGCAGCACAGTTTTACAGCAGGAGCTGTGGCTCTGCAGGGGACAGTCTCCAGGTGGTCAGCACAAGAGCGTGCATGCCTTTCAGCTGCCTTGGATGTCACTGCTGGGCATGGCAATGCCAAACTCAAGAGCCAGTAAATAAATAGTGTTTTACTGCTTCTAGCAAAACTGCACTTAATTGGTAGGTTCTTTCCACCACTGGAAAAGCTGAACAGCTCCTGGGTTTAGTGGAAGTTGTGTTAATTTCCACCCTGTGTAAGCTCTTCCTAGTTCCTTATGAGATCAGCTCTGAAACGTGCAGCTTCCCCACACTGCTGCCTCTCTCCTGACCCTCTGGTCCCCACTTCACAGAGGCTACTTCAGCTGTGACTTGCCCCTTATTTTTTGGATCCCTTGCATTAGATGCATGAGGAGTTTGGTATGCTGTGACAGTGATGATGCCTGTCGGGGTCATGGGTACCAAAATGCTGGTGCACAGCCCCGTCGCTGGGGTCAAAGACAGCAAGTACAGGTTTTGGCTGCAGCCCTGAAATGAAAGAAGGGCTGGATGACAGCTTTGGTTTGAAACTGTAGTAATGATGTGTTTGCTGGCTCCCCTGCGCAGCGATGTGGGGTAGAGCTGCTGTGAACTCTCCTGTGTCCAGCAAGCGGTGCTGCCGCACAGTGGAGACGTTTCGGGTGCTGGCTAGGTCACATCAGAGGTGGTGTTTGCATGGGGACAGTGGGTGGGAATAGGCACTAGGAGTTTTTTTTTGGCTACGGATGCCCTGCAGCTCTGCTGTGAACCCAGCCCGTGAGTAGGATGGCTGAGACGTTGCAAGGGTGGATGGAACAAGTACTGTGAAACCACTTCTTGAAGGTTGTGTGTGACTTTTTGCTTGTCCTCACCACGAGGAGAAGGAGAGGTGAGTGCTCGTCCTCCTCGTGGTTCATGAATAGAGAGAAAAACTGGGCTGATCTGGCTTTAACTTGAGCAGGAGGGATGTGTGTGTAGCAAACAGCCATGCAGGGCCCTGCTGCACCCTGCGCTGGAGGGGTACTGGCTGCACTCCCCCTGCACGTGGGTCCCCTTCACGTGCCTCCCCAGGGCTCTGCTGGGTTACACACATGTCCCCACCAGCGGTGCCCAAGGTTTGCCTCCCACTGGCTGGCTGCTCCCCAAAGGCCGGGGAGCCTGTGCCAGACAGAGCTGGTTCTGCCTGCCAGTGCTGCCGGGACAGCTTCCCATGGGACTCCCTCCTGGCACACTGGGATGGCGAGGGGAAACCTCCCATCCAGCCACAGGGAGGGAGCTGCTTGTGTTGCCCCCAGACAGGGACACGCCCAGCATGTGGCAGCACGTGTCTGTGAGGACAGGCAGGTTTTGGGGGACACTGGTGTCCCCCAAATGCTGTTCATCTTTGTGTGAGTGGAGCCACCCTGCTTGTCATCCAGAGAGCTTTGGTGGCCAGCAGCACTTCACAGTGTGAGGTTTTGGATGGCCAGACGTAGTGTGGCCAAAAGATCATAGAACCATAGAATGGTTTGAGTTGGAAGGGACCTTAGAGATCATCTAGTTCCAACCCCCTGGCATAGGCAGGGACACCTTCCACTAGACCAGGTTGCTCCAAGCCTTGTCCAGACTGGCTTTGAACACTGCCAGGGATGGGGCAGCCACAGCTTCTCTGGGCAACCTGTACCAGTGTCTCACCACCCTCATAGTAAAATAAAAAGATGCTTGCTTTGAGGATTTTAAGGCATTTTTAGCAGCACCACGTGTTTGGTTTTTGCAGTGTGCACAGTACGCCTCTGAGGGGAGTGTTCCCACTCTGCTGTTGGGCAAGGAAGAAAAGCAGCTGAGAAGGTCAGCTGCAGGCTCTGCCATCACTGGAGGTGCTCCTGCATCCAGTTTTGGGCTGATTGTGCAATGAAGTCATAAGGATCAGGAAGCCCGGTGGGTTAGGCAAGGACAAAAAATGCCCACGTCAATGTATGCATTTTCCTTATCCACCCACATAGCATTTTTTGTGCGTTGGGGGTGGCCTCTAAAGCTGCACGCAGTGATTTACCCAGGAACCAGCATTGGGGTTTAAAGCAGGTATTTTTGGTTGCATTTGGGTTTGTGAAAACACCAGTCTGCACCATCTTAAAAGAAATGTTTCTTGTTCGGTTGTTTTTTTTTTTTTTTTGTCCTTTCCAAGAAGAGAAAAGTCTATTTTTAATAAGTAGCTGGTGTGGCCAAAGCAGTGGGAGGCAGCAGCACTGAGCCCTGCTGCGGCTGCTGGACTTGGGGTGGCCACAGCATGCAAGGTGAATGCATTCAACCCCCTGATTTTCCTGCCTTGGTTGGGAGAGAGACCCTCATGACCCTCAGAGCACCTCTCCGTCCAGCAGCGGCTCTTCTAGCAGCAGCCAAGTGCCCTTGGCTTCCCATGCCAGGCTGAGCAACACAGCTGGCTGCAGGGCTTCTCCTTGGCCCCTGTTTGCCTTTACAAAATGGGAATATCTGCAGAAGAAACAATCAGATGGGATTGTGTCTTCTGTGCCTCCCGGATGGATTTCTATGATGGTTTTCTGCTCCTTTCCTATGAAGAGAGGCTGAGGGAGCTGGATAAGAGAAGACCCCAGGCACATCTTACAGCAGTCTTCTTATACCTAAAAGGGTCAGTAAGAAAGCTGGAGAGGGACTTTATACAAGGACAGGTAGTGACAGGACAAGGGGGAATGGCTTTAAACTGAAAGAGGGTAGATTTACATTAGACATTAGGATGAAATTCTTCCCTGTGAGGGTGGTGAGACACTGGAACAGGTTGCCCAGGGAAGATGTGGCCGGCTCTTCCCAGGCAGAGTTCAGACATTAGGATGAAATTCTTCCCTGTGAGGGTGGTGAGACACTGGAACAGGTTGCCCAGGGAAGCTGTGGCTGCCTCATCCCTGGCAGTGTTCAAGGACAGATTGTATGGGGCTTGGAGCAACCTGGTCTAGTGGAAGGTGTCCCTGCCCGTGTCCAGGGGTTGGAACTAGATGGTCTTTAAAGTTCCTTCCAACCCAAGTCATTCTATGGTTCTGTGACAGGAACTGCCCCTCCCCAGGTGAGGCCAGGAGAGTTTGATTGTGTTTCTCTGCCCTTTTCAGTGGGGAGGAAAAGCCTCTGGTGGAATCGCTGCTGCCGTCAATCTGAACAAAAGAAATGTCTCAGCTGTGCGAAAACAGCCTCTGACTTCAGTGAAAAACCAAAACGTTACAAGCCTTTTCAATGCTCTAAGGAAATTTTTGATTCCAGCTCTCTTTACTGCCATGCACTTAAATGGCAAATAACTTTCCCCCACATTCCCAGCACAGCCATGTCCTGGGAGTTCTGTGGTCCTCCCAGCACTGACAGAAGGAGCTGGGCACCACAGGATGGCACATAAAGTGCAAGCCTTGGCATCCACCTGCATGGTACCCCCAGAACTCTCTATGGAGACCTTGAAGAGTGAGCAAGTGTTTTGCAGTTCAGGTTTTTCTGTTTTCACACCCTGAAGTACAAAGCTGCGAGGCACTGGTGTTTTGTTTTACCAGAAGGCATCAGGTGTCTGAATACAAGAGCTGAACATGCAACCGGGGAACAGAGGCAGCACTTGCCCTCTCCTGTTGCAGACTTGATGCTGTTTCATGCACAGAGCAAAAAGTAGGTTGATTATAGCATAAAAACTTTCAAAACCTCCTTTTTCAGAAATGAGTGCCTAAGAGTTAAGGTACTTACTGCAACAGGCGTGTACTTGTCTGTGTGTATATGGATACATATACAAGTGTTTTGCAACTGATGTATGTACACAACAACAAATAACCAGTACAAGCCAGTGGTTCCCTGCTGACACTGGCCTCTGCTGCAAATGGCAACTTTCGAAGCCCAAATGCAGGCATTTTTGTAGGTTTGAGCAGGGCCTGCTGTGGTGGTGAGGTTGGCAGCCATGGCTGGTGCCTCCACACCAGCCAGGTGCCTGACTGTCCAGGGGTGCTAATTTGACTTTGGCAGGGAGCTCAGTTCCTGAGCCGGGTGTGCAGGTGGTCAGTGGTACCTCTGCAATGAACCTGGGCTGTCCACCTGCTCTCCTCTTGAAAATGTGGCCTTTTGTGGGGGGTTACTTGGGTTGTTTTCCTCCTGTTTCTGTCATGCGGCTGTGTCTGAGGGCTCTCGCGCAGATGGAGGCAGCAGCCTGGTGGTGGGACAACTCCTGGTAAGTTACTCTATGTGGTGCACAGTTTCTTCCTCCTGCAAAAAACCGAGCAAAAAACTAGAGGAAATATGATATACAGATATAGCTCAGACACGTGAGGACCTGGGTGGTAGCAAGTGCTGGGATTTGCAATATCGCTGTGACCTTGCCTTGGTGATTTGCTGGGTTCCCCAGAGCTCAGGCCACCTCAAAGTGCTTGTGTTACAGAGCTACTGGTGGCCCACGTTTCGCCAGGCATGTGAATAGAATTAATTTCCTTTATCTGGTTTCTTGCCTCAGAGAAAAAGGAAAATTGTATTAGATGTTCAGTTGCAGACGGCCAATATGTAGAGGTTGTGTACCGATAACTGAGGTTGACACGTGGTGCATTTCAGGTGTTCTCTCCTCCTGCTTTTATTATAAAATTGATTGTTTGCAAACAAATAACAAGCTCCATGCCCAGCTGATGTTGGTTTGTGTTTGGGCTGATGCCAGGAGAGGGAAGAGAGATGAGAGAGGGATTCTTATGCTGGTGCTGGTGCACCCTTTCCTTGCTCATCACTTTGCTCCCCGGTTCATGGCCCTGGCACACATGTTCCTGTCCCCAACAGCACATGGGGAGAGGTGGGAGCTGGGGCAAGCTCTGCCTCTGGTGCTTCCCCCCCCAGTTTTGGAGGTGCCATGGCCACTTTGCTGCATGATGCCCCTTTCCCTGGCTGCAGCAGCACCTTGGCCTCTCCCCTCCAAGCTCAAAGTGTCTTTCTGGTTTTGTTTTTCTATGCTTATTTTTGGTCCTGAGGTTTCCTTCCAGAATAGCTCCAGGGCGTGGAAATAGGATGGTGCAGCCCCAACCACAGCCTCGGCCCTGCAGTGGGCCCGAGCAAGACGGGAGCACACTGCTCTGCTCACTTACTGCCCTGCAAAAATAACAATTACATTTGGACATAGGAGCCGTGTCAGCCTGCGCCAGACAGGGACGCTCTGACTGTGAGGTCTCCAGGGGCTCCAGCTCCTACATCAAAGCCATAGGCAGTGCCCTTGCTGGGCCATGCTGGGTGCAAGCCCACCCAGTTGCAGCCCGGAGCTGGTGTCAGTGGCTGGCACAAACCCCACCAGTGCTGGGGCGCGGGTTGGCATTGTCTGCTGCGCGAGGGCAGCGATGTGCCTGTACAGGGCTTTGGGAGCGGGCTGCCTGCCTGACCCCTGCTTGTCACCAAAGCGTGTAATGAGCAACATGGCGGTGTACTTGTACACAGAAAAAACCTGACGGGAGTGCAGAAGGGAAACCATTGCGTTTGCACTCGTGGGCTGCATGCTGCGCACCCGCCTTGTCATAGAATTATAGAATCAACTGGGTTGGAAAAGACCTTTAAGATCATAGAGTCCAACCATTACTGCAGCACTGCCAAGTCCACCACTAAACTGTGTCAC